TGGAAAACAGTAAATACACCCGTAAAGGAGCCGGTTGACCCCCCATCCATGGATAAAGTTATAAAGGAAAACTTTATTATTGAGGCAGATGACTCAAAGTTTGAATGCTTGAGAGAAACCCTATTTTCATTATACATTTATGCAATAGATAGAGAAGAGAAACTAGATCTGAAACCAGCAGAAAGTAAAGTTAAAGTAACGACGGCGCCTGAGCAGGTCAAAGAAACCACAGAGGAAACACAGCACGCAGAGACTAATAATAATACGCCTCATGAAAATATGAGCATAAATCAGACTAAACAAGAGGAAAATGTGCCATCAGAAGAAACAGTCATAACTCCACCTCCCTCATTCCACATTAGGGAAACAGAAACAGCAAAAACAACAGAGCACACAGCACAGACAGCGACAGGAAACATGGAGATTAAACAGACGATGCCAGGATCGGAAGTCCTCAATCATGGCAGCACACAGAGAGCTGATGGGCCGCCAACAACCACCATGAGTCCGGAGCCCGAGACTGACACTGAGCCCGGGTTTACAACGCGTACAACAAGGAATGCTGAATCTACGAGTGGAGGGTCACATTCAGGCCTCAGGATGAGAGAGGATATCACCAACCCCCATGAAGCCGCAGAGAATAAAGAGAGAGAAGAAGAGCCAGGAGTGACCTCATCCTCATTTTCACAACCTCTGGAAACAGCCCAAACATCAACCAACTGTCTTCCACCAGTACGTGAAGCTGTGGAACCAGACTTCTATGAAAATCCTTCTTAAATGAAAGGAATGTGTGAAAAGTGGGCCACTATTTATTAGCACAATAACCGCATGGAGTCTAAAGCCCAAAATAAAAAATTAGCACATAACCCCCAGTAATAAGTTAAAATGTTATTTTTTCGTTTGATTATTGTAAAAAAGATGGCCTAAATTACTAATAAGGCAAATATGCCAAATGGCTGCTACAGCCAGGCTAGCTGTTTCCCCCTGTTTCCAGTCTTTGTGCTAAGCTAAGCTAACTGCCTGCTGGCTGTAGCTTCATATCAATCTGTTCTTCTAGCTCTCTGCCAGAAAGCAAATAAATGTATTTCCCAAAATGCTCAAGTTTAACTTTAAAGTAGATTAGTTAATGAAAGGGGAAATAGAAGTTTACATACACAGATAAACTGTATGTGAAATACAATACACAGATAAAAAGATAAAAAAAAAACCCTATATCCAACAGGAAGGGAGAATATACTGTAACTGGAGATAAAGCTGCTGCAAATAGGATAAAAAGTTTTGAGGAAGAGCAACCAGAAATGATTGATTTCTGAGAGTGAAAATGGTGAATTGTGCAATAAAACCCTAATTTATTAATTCAAAAAATGACTTTCAATCAAATTTATGTAGCGTGAGATGAAATGAAGCATGTTTCACTGTTCCTGCCCACATTTCTCAGCACTGATGAAAGTTCTCCTCCACAGTCTGCAGATGACAGGCCGCCACCGTGCAGAGGTTTAATACATCGCACTGAAGCTGGGTGGAAACACTGCATGGAGAGATTTGCAGGAGCCGGATCAAAGCCGATTTCCTCGAGGGAAACCGCAGGTGCATTTAAGGAAACAGGAGAGCTGGAGAAAGGCCGTGATGACAACCTGCCTGATGATGATGATGAATATCAACATTTCTATTATTTTGATGGAGTACTGAAAAGAGTTCAAAATAATTACTACCCCCACTACAAGAGTGAGAGGAGAGGAAAAGGAAAGAAAGGAGACACTAATGAAAATCTCCTCAGTTACATCCACCGTCTGACTTTGAGGAATAAATTCAGTCACTCCACTGACCATAATGTGCAGAGAGGCTCAGACTAATGCTGGTGAATGAAAATACATGAAACACTCAGAGTGGCTGAAGTAAAAAAAAAAAGAAAAGATAAAAGGAAAGTTGCAAAATACAGAATCACAGTTAATCATTAACAACGCTAATTGTTCACTAAGGATAGCTTCACCTGCTGGCCAGTAAATGAAATACAACGTCCTGTTTGAGTAGTGGAGTCAGCCATGTTGGAATTTCATTGAGTGTAAAGGAGGAAAGTCAGGAGGCAAGGACGTTCAGACTTCACACTGATATGTGTGGAATAGACAGCGCAGAGAGGACTTATATTATTAAACTATTATGACCCCGTCTGTCAATTTAGCTATACTTTATACTTTTACTTTTTGTAAGCGCTCTGTTTTATGATACGTTGATAATGTCCATCATAGTAGCATAAAACACAACTTCTACCTCTGTTATATTATGTTATATTAGCCTTCATAGATTTGTTCAGTTAGAGCCTTTCTGTTCAGGACATTTACATCATGACAGTGTTTGTACATAAAATCTAATTATTTTTGCCGTGTTTCATAAGTTTGAATGTTAAATAATTTATATTTAATTTATATATAATTTATAATATTTTGTATTTGTTTCCCATGACTTTAAAATTGTGCTGTAAATTCATACACCCTGTAATTGTTGCTGTCGTGTGTCAGAATCTGGAGATTTTCTGTGAATCTGAAATAAAATGAGTCATACATACAGTATCTGTGTATTGTGCCTTATTTACCTAATTTGGTGATTAAAGGGTTAAAGGTAAATAGTCACGAATCAGTTATTTATAAGTAGGAGTTTTCAGGTCTGATATAAGTCACAAATAGAAAATATAAGGAATAAAAGGGAAGTTTACGTTTCTTTTAGGCATTCCTTTTGTCATGATTGGACACTTGTAGTTCCTGGCTGTGGACATATTTATATTACTGTATAAGTTTATATAATTTAGTCAATCAATAATCAATTTAATGTAAAATATGTAACAGATAATAACCCTTCTCATCTCAGTTAGTCCTAATTAATTTGTGATCTTCTTTGGCATGTTAAAAAATAAAAATGTAACAATGAGACAATCTGGCAGAGCAATGGTTAAAATGAATGTATAAATGTTTGATCTGCACAACCCTGGACGTTTTTACAGGTGAAAACATCAGTAATTTCAAACAACTCAAACAAAAGTATCTGTACAAAACATTTATTTGAAATTGACATAAAAACAGCTTTTGTTGTATTTGCATAATTTAAATCTGAAATCCTTGACAAGCAAACAATAACTAAGGGGGGAAATGGCTTAACGGTAACGCTCAATAGACAGTTTTTACACAAGGGAAGTTAATTGAACAACTTAGGACTTGCAATGAAATATGTAAAAGGTAAAAACACAGAAAGTATATATAAAAAAAGAAAAAAGAAAAAAAAAAAAAGAGACATACACTCACACGAAGCCTATTCAACGCTACGCTACTGCAGGAGAGGCAGGACAGATAAAAGGCTATGAGCTGAGAAATGGATGAGATAAAAAAAAAAAAAAAATTAAAAATTAAAAAGTGAGAATGTTGAGTGAGAAAGCAAGTGTATAGGGTCCCTAGAAATTGATGCAGGCTGTATTTTCATTGTCTGTCAGTAGATGGCAGTGCCAGCACTGTAGCATCACTCTTCAGCAATAATATATAACTCTGTAACTCTTCACTTTATACATCAGAGACTGCAGGAGAACGGGCAAATTCTACCTTACAACGTCACAACATCAACAGCAACCGCTCTGGTTTGCATGTTCTGCTGTCCTCAATAACTTCATACCTCACTATAGTCGTGTTGGTTTGTTAAAAGTGCTGCATATAAACTACATATGCATATTGTGAGGCTTCAACGCTCTCTGGACATTTGTATGTACATGGGAAGGAATTTAGGGGAAATAAATCTGAGCTTCTTTTTAAATCCAGAAAAGATTTCCTTCATCTCGTCTAACTAAGACAAAGCAATGCGTACCTGCACCTCAAGTCACCACCGACGTACTGAAGGACTATTCGGTCAGTCGGTGGACTAAAACATTTTCTGAGACTGATTTCATTCCAGCTCCAATTTGACACATTCTGCTCTCAGCGTCGAGAAAAAAAAACAAAACAAAAAAAAAACAACCTCCGACACTGTGACGAATGTCGCCTAAATGGAAACTCATTTGTGAAGAAATGGCACATGTAACGTTGACAAATCGACTGTGTTGCGCTGAACGCAGCGCAGCGAGTGAGCGGGGACAGAGTTTTCAACAAAAACGCTACTACAACTTTCACCCACACCTTGAAACATTTTTGATGTCAGTCATTTTGCCCTGTAGCTAAAACATCATCACCACACAAACAGACAGTGTGCTTGTTCTCCAGGGTCGCTTTTGGCAATGATATAAATAATAAAAGATAATTATTATTCATTACAATAAATATATTAATAAATAAAACAACCTTTGAAGTTTTCCAATTTGCTTGAAAACATTGTGGAAACATTTTTACTAAACTATAAACAGCTAACAGAAACAGCTTGTGAAATTCCTTCTCCAATGTCGATGTATGAGTCGTAACACTGAACATTTAAAAGACTGGACGAAAAACATCTTTACAACGCGACTTGATCGGAAGAAATCTGACATGGACATGAGAAAAAAAAAGAAAAGAAAAGTAAATTTAGATTTTCAGATGGCATTGAAGAGGTAAAGTTTATGATTAGTAACGTTAACTGTTGCCATAACAATATTTTCCTATCATTAGTCGAGAAAATGCTCATGGACTGTTACATACGGTTTCAGAGAAGCCGAGATCTAAATAATAAAAAAAAAAAACAAACATAGCATGACTGTAGTTTTAAAATCCTACATGTGCCAGAGGTCAGTGCATCAAAGAGGCACAGTATTAGTGACATAGCTAATGCCACTCCTACAAACCAGTGTATATCCTCGTCTCCAGGTGGTGCACTACGATCTGGGTAGAGGTGCGTGACACCCGCCCGGAGACGTCGAAGCTTTCAGTATTTGGCTGCATGTCGCTTCATTAGAGGCTGAAACATGCAGCTGTTTCTGCCTGTGGAAGTTGACACCTTCACGTTTCTCCTGCTCTTTAAAAAAAAAAAAAAAAAAAAAAAAAAACCCAAAAAAACCAAAACAAACAAAACACACTTTTTAATGGTCGTCTTTGGTGGTAACGCTGTTGAATTTGACCACAAAACTTCTCTTCTTCGTGTTCATTATTACACCTCAGTATTTGGCAGATAGTCAACATCCTCAGAGCACTGATCAATACGACTTGACCTTCCCCTTTTTGTCTTTTTCTTTTTCTTTTTTTTTTTTTAAACTACTGGCTTTTTGAATACATGGCCGGTCAGCCACAAAGAGGTAAGCCTGTTCGTGAGACACAGTGTCCACTGACTGCGTCTATGTGCTTTTTTAAGTTTTTCTCGTGCTGCATTTTCTTCACCTGCGGCCCCTGTTCCTTCAGCTTTCAGGGCGTGTCTGCGTGCTTGTAGTAGCCTTTCTGCAGGGCTAAGGAGGCGATGCTCTCGGCCGAGCGCCGCTGGTCCATACTGAGCAAAGCGTCCAACAGGTCGTTGATGTCGGCTTTTAGTCCCCGCCTCTGCATCCAGCTCTTCAGCAGTTCATAAACTTTGTCACCGGGGGTGCCGTTTTCTGCGATCCGGATGTGATTGTCGCTGACTCCAATCAACCTGAAGAACTTGTTATGGATCCGCACGTCCAGGTACTCGTCGAACAAATCAAAGCTCTTCTTCAGGGATTTTTCGGACCCTTCAAAAACACAGATAAATAGGCACGTTTAGTTGCCTACACCATGAAATCTGGATGAATGTTTGTCCAAGTTAACCGTCGCGTCTACGTTAGAGGCTTTAAAAACCTCACGAGGAAACAACATACACATTGTTTCTACATGAGTTTCAGGACATTCAGCACGTCGGTACATTTTCCTTCGGGGGATACATACATAAAATTTTTTAACAGAGGCTCAAACAAAGCTGTTGAGCCATGTCTTTTTTAATTTAGCATGAGAAAAAGAGACAGCATGTTCCAAACCCCCGAAGGCTCAGATATGGCCTGACCGTCATGAGATTATTAATCTATCAGGCAGCTAATGTGAGATCTTGAGGAGATAATGTTTATTTGACTTCCCTGTGGACTGACATGAACTACAGCAAACTGTGTGGTTTTCTGTGCATAGCTTGCTGCCTTTTAGGGCAAATCAAAAGTCACGAAAAATAGCTTCATGAAATGAATAAGAAATGTTTCTCGGGAGTAGAACCCCCCCCCCCACTGCAGGAATCTCACCTTGTAGTGGCACCAGTCGATGTCTTAGAGGATCATCCTGTAACATGAGAGAAAATACACATGTAAAATGAAATAACAGAATTTAACAGAAACAATCTTTCTGGTGTTTTCTGTCTTCTCCCTCTCACCACGTCTGCAGGCGGCAGTCTGAAGGCGCTGGGGCTCTGGTGTGGGGTGTTACCAGAGGAAGCTGCTGTGGGCAGGGCCGACAGGCTGGTCTGAGACGAGCTAGTGGTGTTGGGCAAACTGTCCCCTAGTCCTCGGTCCTCATCCTCGAGGGGAGGAGACTTGGTTATCCCAGCCTGGGTCTCCTGCAGCAGCGGCCGTGACTCCGGACGGGACTCCTCGCCCTCCAGACCTGCATTCTGGTTATTCTGTCTCTCCTCCGCCGTGGCTCCACTCTCATCCTGCCCAGAACAAAGGTAGAGGATGGAAAACATTGACATATCGTACACAGTGTGACAGAAATAAACACAAAACAAAACAAAAAAACTTACAATAGGAATCTTCACAATTTCACTGGAATCACAATGGCTCTTTGAACCTGTGTGAAAGCAGAGACACAGCATTAGGGACCCATCCTTAATAAGAGTAACTGCAATGCAAAGCTGCACAGGACATGATGTCAACTTACATGGTATTTCACATGAACGCTGCTTAAACAGGAACCACCACACAGCCAGTGCAACGAGAGAAATGACGATGATGATGGCCAGAAAAATACATATAGGAATAGCTGAAAAAAACAAACCCAGAAATAAATCAGTATGATTAAAATTAGGTGCAATAATTTGAAGCTGTGTGTTTTGCGTAAAACAGCGTTTTATGTTACCAATGTCCACTGAAGAGGAAGGTGTCGGTGTGGGGGCGGATTTCAGGGAGGTTTCAGTAGGGGACGGATCCCGTTTTCGACACACCGTGTTAGAAAAGGGAGTGCACTTCCTCACCTCCTCCTCCCCCGGTTTACACCTGCAATTTTATAGAAAAATAAATAAATAAATAAATATCCAGTGATATTCAAACATAAAAAGCACAGCATCACATGGTGTGCTTTGCTTGTAGTAGCTAATGTAGCCTCAGGCCACCAGCCTCAAGTAGAGGTGAGGGGCGGGCTACAGAGGTCTGCTCAGCTTGTAGTCTTCAGCCTCAGCCTATATCAGTTCATCAGACCAGCTGCTCCCTCTGTAGCCACCGCGTTATTCATCTTTTTTCCACACATGCACCACTACTCCCTCAGACCTGTAAACAGACTTTGATGTGTACCACTGAACAGAGTTCCCCTTTAAGGTAGAAACTCAGTGACATTGTGGGTCAGTACAAAGTAAAAAGAAGAAAATCAGACTCACTTGGCACAACGTTTGCAGACTTCACAGGCCTGATCCGGCACACAGAAGGTCCCTGGTTTGCACTGGCACTTAGTGTCTGTAGTCGTGGTGCAGGATGTAGTTTCAATCTCATCTGTGAATAGTTGGAAAAGATAAAACAGGGGACACACCATAAATAAATATCATAACAATGAGGGCCAGGGACATAAATCAAATCTGATTAAATAGATAAACAGGGGACCAATCTACTCAAACCTTAAATACACAGAGAGATATGAAACAATGTGATGTAATAAAATAATTTTTAGCAACTGATACACAGACGGACAGAAGGCATTTTGTACTTGAAGGACCTATGAGATGGTATGTATTGAATTACAATATTAAAGGCATTAAGATAAAAGAGGCACACTGGCAGAGAGCCAGGTTTCAACCACAGCATACCAGCCCCTGGATTCCTAAATGTAAAGTAGTGGCCCCCCACACATCTGTGATCAGCTAAAGAGAAAAACAAATTACTGGTCAACACAGAGTGTGTGACCCGTTCAGAGTTTGCAACTTCCTCTAACTTTGTGAAGTAAACTCATATTAAACCTGTGACCACTGGCATGTGTTTAAATGAGAGAGAACATGGTGGACTTTTCAGACAATTTGTAGGCCGTTAGCAATTCCGTGGAAATCTTTTGCCAAAAAAGTTAGATAATTGAGTTCCCAATTTTGTCTTCTTATTAGATACATTTTGCCTCATTTTAACAGTATAATGAGGGATGGAGAGGCATGGTGCATTTATTAAATTGAGACCTAAAAGACCTAAGTCCTGGCCTTGAAGATACAATCAAGATTAATAATAAAGCAGTCGTCCACCTCCACAGGACGACCTTTCACAGGAATCTGATGTCCATACTTGCCAATTAAGGAAAAATTGCAGTGTAAGATTGGTTTGGTAGCAAAGTGTGAGCACTCTCTTACTATCCTCTAATCATCCGCATTAATACATCCTCTTGTATTCACACAATTCTGCTCATTTCAGTGAGTTTTTAAAGAACTCTTATCTAGTAGCAAATTTATGACTGGATTCACCTAAATGAGGACACGCGTCACGTCAACTTTTCCCACAGATGACAATTACAACTTTGCCAAAGATACAAAGTTCACAGTGAGTAATCAGCTGGCAAACACTTTATTACCATCTTCAGGACGCTGTCGAGAGGGTGTCATAAGCATGTTGCTAATGAACTGAAAAGATCTGCGTATTTGATGGGGAATAATTCAGTTTCCTCTGTCTGTACATCTGAAGTTGAATACGACATGAAGTTTACTGATCCCATCCAACACAAAGACTTAAAGTTAAGAGTAAAGACTCTGCTCTGACTCTCCACACTGAATTCCTTTTGTCTGTCCTGTCATTAATCATTAGTGATTATCAGTGTAATGATCATAATGAAACCTAACGCAGTTGGGTAGATTGGGCCTGTAGATATCACTGCTGCAATTTATGGTCCTGTGATGCAAGACTATATATGGAGCGACTTGATGGCTAAATGCAACAGCTTGGATTATATGGATATAAACCAGTGTTTCCCATACATTGATTTATTTGTCGTGGGCTGCCACATATTGATTTAGAAAAATGTTTTTTCTCTCTCTCTCTCTCTCACAAACACATTGAAAACAGTAAAACTGACCATTGGGACCACTGGGAGAAGAGCCCAACACATATGTGGGCCAATGGGCTGTCAAAAAATCCATACAGTTTTTAATACCGCTGTCAGTCTCTTTACCAGCCCTCTCCATGTGCCTGTCATTTGGGGTGTGCATGAGAGCGTGATCCGGGCTCACTGGCCAATCACAATTTGTAACACTGACCCTTCCGAATCAGTGAAAGTTGTTATTTGTTTGACAGAGGTGAAGCAGCGAGGCTTCAGGAAACTAACAATATTCATACAGTATATACAGTATTATAATTAATTTAATACTTAATTTAATAAGGCCCCGCTGCACCGAGACCACTGAGTTTATAAAGGCAGTTATGTGATGTCAAGTGATTGGAACAGTGGATTTTGTTGTTATCATTTTACTGACATATAATAATCAAAATTTTAACAGTTTTCCAATAAAAAACATTTTCCCTTGAGGGTTGTTTACTTCATTTCCAATGAAGGGGTGTGAACACTCATGGGACACTTTCATAACAAATAACTGCTGATTTACTGAGAAAATATGTCATATTAAAATATTTTAAAATGGTTCATGGTTTGAATTTTTTTGAAATTTCTTACAATGATAGTATTGATTCATAAAAATGTTCCTTGCAAGAAAAAATATTTGAGAGGCAAGTTACAATAGTAGCTATACAAAGCTTGGTAGACTTTAAACATGCTGACATTGTTCAGTGACCTAAAAGCCTCCATTTTGCTACATTTGTTTGCCATTAAGTTAATTCGATCAAGCTAGAAATCAAGTTCTGTTGTTGTGTTTATTTTATCACCAGTGGAGCCAACGCAGCGCTCCCTGCTTCCTCTCTGCTTTTTACATGGAAGATACGCCATGTGGGACACAGACCGTGCCGAGCGCCCGTTATACAGAGGAAATGCTGTTGTAACTCAGTGCAGTGAGAAATAATTCTTTTCAGTTTTGTTACATAATTATGCTCAGCGCTAACTGGAGGTAACACATGCAACAAAGCCTCAAATAGGAAGTGAGTCAGGGTAAACCCAAAAAAAAAAAAAAACAACAATAAAAAACCAAACATTAAGAATTGGCAACAATTCAACAGTCAGCTGCCTGTGAGGCAGCTGGTGTTTGAAGAACGCACAATAATTAACTAAATCTGTTATTTCTATTAAATTGGCAGGTGCTTTGTATAAGTCTGAATGCTGGGGGCGGAGAGGGTGGGGCAGAGAAACATCTGTTCAGTCCAAACTCAATATGAACACCTTTTTCTCTGTACTTCCTGTCTGGTCTAAGAAAATGATGCAGTTCATTTCATCTGAATCAACAACACTCTCCACAACATTCATCGTAAGGCTTTGCTTAAGAGAGACAACACACCAAACCATGACCTAAACTTCAACAAGGCGAAGCTCCACCTGACTCTATAAAAGGATTCATTCAATCAACAGTGGCCTTGTCAATATAAGATGTTTCTCAAAGCGTAATTCACATTTCCTGCTAGTATTTTTGCATGGTAAATAAGTTTAAAACTAGAGCAAAACACACAAAGCTCAATCTTAAAACCGCAACGAATGAGCACAAAACACATCCTATGTAACACTAGTCTCTTTTCTGTGGCTGCAGCCTTTCACTGGACACAAAGACGCCCAGTGTGGGAGACAATGGGACACAGCCACACCCAGTTCACCCAGGTAGGACAGACACACAAGCAAATCTCCCGAGACAAGGTAACATGCTCACATTCGGCGTACGAGACAAAACAACAAAGACACGCCCCACGACTCCGTGTAACATCATAAGATCACATTTTCGGGAGTGTATCTGAAAGGCAGGGGGCACAGACAAAAAGGTATTAACTTTCCCAAACAATATATCTTTGACAAACTGGATTACAGAAGACTCGACTTTTATGTAACTTTTTTTTTTTTTTTTTTTTTTTTTTTTTTTTAAATGGTAATGGATTGAATTAAAGGGCAATTCAGTTAGTTTTTCTTCTCTTTCAACCACCTGGGAGTTATTTTCAGCATTCACACTGGACAAAGCTGCTTCAACCTGACACGATAAACTCATTGTAGTTGTCCATGAACAAAGATTTACAGAGGATAGACCCCCTCCCCACCCCCCTCCCCCTATAATAAACATGTGACACAAATAGCAAAAAAACTCGCTGGTTCCTGCTTCTAAAATGTGAATATTTTGAGGTTTTCTCTGTCGTCTGTGATGGGAAATTGAGTATCTTTGGGTTTTGGACTGTTAATTCAGACCACAGTGTGGAAGCTAATGGGGATCCAAATAAAGGAATAAAGAGAGAAAACAGGACATATGAGGATGCCTGGGTTTTTTTTCAAAGCTATTTTTCATAAATAAAATGCACTGTCTGACCCCTTTTACTAATTGGTCAAATGTACCTCAGTGTAAAGCTCCACAGCCAAATCTTAATAAATGCTATAATAATTAAAGAGCCAAAAAAAAAAAAGAGAAGCCTAACAGGTCAAAAGTTGAATGTAAAAACAGTATATTATCTATTCTCCCTAATTAAATCAAAATGAAACATGATTTTATAAAAAACTCAAGTGCAGATGTGGAGAGTACCGTTACCTGAGCGGCAGTTGGTACATGGCAGACAGCGGTTCATCCCGTTGGAGTGCTCTGTGTAAGTCTGTCCATGCTCACAGGGAAGACAGGTCCCTTGCTCTTGGTCTCTCTCACAGGCCTGTTGCACAAAGGTTCCTGCAAATAAAACAATGCAACAATCACACATCAATTCAAATGATAAACATATACACTAATTTATTGCGGCTAATTGAAGCCGCTGTGGATCTTTGACGTCATTAATGTGATGTGTTTCCTGCCGAAACAGGATGTTGGGGCAGGACATTCCACAGCAAAGGGATCGGCCGATGTTATAAGCCTCTGAACTGTAAACCAATGGGACATCAGCTGAGGAGAGAAAGGCCGTTTGATTTGATAAAAAAGTGCAGAGGGGTGGGATTGTGAGGTTTTCTTTGCTTGTACATGATTCACTCTTTTACACAAGATGACAGGTTTCCAGGAAGTTCGAGTGCACATTTCATGGGGACCAGAGGAGGGGAGGGGGGAGGGGGGGGGTTGACATGAACCGATTCACTGAACAACACAGTTACGTGACCTCCTCCACTGGTCGACTGTCATGCGTAGAATTTTTATCCTCAGTTCACGCATGCCTTGAATAAAACCAGTTGATTCTCATGTGTTTTCAGGATTTATCTGATGCTCAAATGGAAAAAAGGCACAGCAGAGAATGGGAAAAATGCAAGAGACAGCAAAGACATCTGTGGCCTGAACCCACTGAATATTCAGTAAGCAGGGTGCCGGTGCTGTGGTCGGTTCAGGGGTAATACAGTTTGTTTTAGCTCAGTTTAAGCGTGGCTTAAACTGATTTTCAGTGTGTAGCCAGGCAAACAAACATTATGCCTGGTTAAATAAAAAGTTCATGCTGACAGAAAGAAGCAAAAAGCTAACATTACATTCCAATAAGTGGTCACAGTGGTTTTTTTTTAAACATGTGGTGAAAACTGACCAAATGACAAGAATGCAAGAAAACAGATTCATAAAAAAATGAGAAAATTCCAAGATTTTTCTTTGCATCCCAGTGTCACAAACACACGCTCAGTTTTATCTGTTAGTGTCTAATCATTATCTCCCATGAGGGATTTTCTCCGTCTCTGTGTGTAAATGAAGCTTTTAGATATAAGAAATTGATTGACCGATTGATTGTTTGAGTTGATTTACAACAGCTGTAAGTATGAAGTCAAACATACACAACCTCCGGGTTTTAAATAAATGCTCATGCACACATAATTTGATAAAGTGGCATGTGTTTTAGAAATTACGCATTAGTTAATAACGTTGGGAATTTACTGGTGCTGCACGTCTGAGCTTTTATTTAAAAGAAAAAAACAAGATTACAAAACCTGAGTTGATTAAATATAAAACAGAATTTCTTAGAATTCAGAATGGTAAATGAAATAATCCAATCAGCGTGCAGTAATTGCATTTTGGCTAAATAAGTTCTGAGCTAAATAAAAAAAAAAAAAAAATGTTAGTAACAGCCTCATCAAATTCTTTACATAATAAATTTAAAAAGGTTGGTACTTTTAATTACTCAGGAATTCAAAAGAACCTCAGCTTCACTCGTAAAAGCGTAGATCTGATCTGAGATGGAGCAGCGTGCCTTCTGCTCCTGGCCGCCACGCACTCTTTCCAGGCCAGGCAGAGAATATTTGCAGAACTCGTTTAGGATACAGTTCAGGTTATGGTTTTGACATTTGACTTTAGTTGTTTTTTTTTTTTCACAGAAAATGCCATTGTAGATGTTGGCTCTGGCTTGTGCTCAGTTCTTTTTTATATAACAGAAGACACATATCAATGCTTTAAGATGCAGGAAACAATGTTATGTGTTGATTGTTGCAACTGCAGCTACTGTATATTCTAATTAAAGGTCCCATACTGTAGAAAGTGAGGTTTCCATGTGTTGTTTGATTATAGATCAGGTCTAGGTTCTATATTAATACAGTGAAAGTATCAATACTTAGTCCACTGAGAAATGCACACAGCCTGTATTCAGACACTGAGCCTTAAAACCAGCCGTCAGGACTTCTGGAACTTTGTGATGTCACAACAAAGCAGTCACCAAGCCCCGCCCACCTGGACCCACCATCCAAACCTTGCAGGATTTGGTTTCTCTGAGTGTTTTACCTGCTAGATTTCTATTCGATCACTCAGAATACAGTCAGCCAATCAGAAGAGAGGCTTACGGATTCTTATGGATCAACACTTCAATTTAAAACACCTGAAAAGTGTAAATTATGGGGCCTTTAATACGATCCCTCTTACCAGCATGGCAGTTGAGGCAGCAGAGTCCCTGGTGGAGGTACTGATGGTTCTCCACACACGTTCTGTGTCGTCGTAGGGTGAGGTTTCTGTACTCGTCGCTGGACCACTGAGACGCTGGAGGATCTGCTGCGTGACACACGAGCCCAGTGAGGAGCGCTGCCACCACCAACACCTGAATGTTCAAAGTCGGGGGGGGGGGGGGAGAGGGGACAAAAGCTTTGCATTATTATGTGTATCCACAGTATACAGACCCGCCCACTCAAACTCATTAGATGAAGGACAGTAAAGAGGAGAGTCTATCTTCATAGGAAACCTTGTGTGAGCAATCTACGACTTAATTTGAACCATCTGATCTGAACATCTGCCGTGGGAAAGCAATTAAGGGAGCCATGCAGCTGGTCACAACTAGAGGCAACACAGTCCTGTGTGCGCAGGATGCAGAGCTATACGCTAGCAACATGCAGCGCAACAGGCGACCAAACTTAATTACTCCATGATCTGGTTTTCTTATGAGGAAAAAGTTGAAAAAGAAGAGACTCTGTTTTCCTCGACTGTGGGCTGAGGGTTCGATAAGGTATCTCAGCTAACAGCAGCCCGGTGCCCGTATCAGATGTGACTCCAGAGGTCCATTCATGTGCCGGATAATAACAGGCTTGTATAGGTGGGGGGGGGACTGAGAAGAATATAGCTGAACACTTTAGTGTGGCCCCCAGGCGCTGGTGTTTATTCACACGCTTTTCACCATGTCAATGTGAGAAGGCCCCATTCACTGGCAAACAACACACTTTAGTGCCTCTACTTCAAATGACCCACATTCTTAAACCCCGGCTCTTTGAATGCCACGACATGCGACACCGGCATGAAGCGCCTCAAACGCAACGCGACACCTCCTGGGTAAATGAGAGGCCTACCTTTGGAGATTTTTTGTCTCCGCTGTGCACCAGTCCCCCCCCCCCTCCAGTCCACTCCACCCCAACCGCTCCCCACCTTCACAAGGCCAGGAGAGAAAGGAACAGGTTAGGGTGGAGCGGGCCAGGTTGAGAGGGAGAAAGAGAAGGCGGGAGGGTCGATTAAAAGTGAGAAATTGTAGACGGCAAGTTGAAGGTGGGATGTTCTAGTCTAAAAAGACAAGTGTGGGAGAATGAGAGGAAGAAAGACTGAGAGTACACAGACTGAGGTAGAGGAGGAGGGACAGGCTGGAGCTGAGGCCGACTCCTGACGCTAGACTCGGCTCTCTGGAGGGCCGCCATGCCTTGTTGCTCAAAAGAACTTTCCTCTCTCTCTCTCTTTCTCGCGCTCTCTGCCTTTTCCCTTCTTCCTCTCCCTCTGCTCACGTCAGACTTTCCAAAGACGCTAAGAGGCAGACGTGGAGGGGCAGACGGCCGGCAGAGCAGTCACAATCACACCATTTAGATCTATCCAAACATTCTGGGGTGGGGGGTGGGGGGGCAGAGGAGAGAAGGAAAGAGGAGGGAGATAAAATGAGAGCGAGGAGGGTGGGGGGGGAGACTAACAGCTTGCATGGGTGAGTCTTTAGACTTGAATACACTATGTGTATGACTGCAGGGTGGGGGAAGCAGAGACATGGAACTGGGGAAAGAGTAAGTAGAAGGCCGTGTGAAAAAGGCAAGAGAGAAAAATCTGCGTACGAGCACATGTGCACGACGAAGCAGTGGAAAGAAAGGATGGGGGAAAAAAAAGACAACTGGGAAAGAATGAGCTGGACTCGAGGTAATCCTACACTTCTACAGTGCAGAGGGAGAATGTGAAATATCAATCAATACCCCCCATAAAGTATTGTAATAAATCATTTACAGTCGAAACCTGTGTGATTCTCTGACAGTGAAGATGCATAGAGAGCGTAGAGATTACATCATTTCCAGTCTTTGTTCATTTCAGGGTCTGTTATTCAAAACATTCCCAGGTGCAGACGGCCGCAGCAGCTAACCTGCTGCGCTCTGCAGTTGAAGGTTAACTCACAGAAAAGCCAATCTTATTTTACCATAGGGAAGTAAGGCCACTGCTGTTTATTATTATTATTTTCATTATCTATTAATCTGCAGATTATTTATCTCGATAAAGCGAGAAAATGGCGAAATATGTCCCATCGCCATTTTCCACAGCACCAAGACGACGTCTTCGAATGTCTTGTTTTTTCCCACCAACGGTCCAAAAAAGTTTACAACAATATAAAGCAGAGAAACGCAGGAAATCCTCACATTGAAGAAGCCGCAACTAGTCATGTCATCTTTGAGTCCTTTGAAAATCGATAGATAACGATTATCAAAATAGCTGATGATTAATCGCCCTCATTTTCTGTTGAGTGACTGTTTCAGCTCTAAAAGAGAAGAAAAGAAAATTTGCTACTGAAACTGAGAATGTTTTAAGAGAGACTGTTTTATGAGAGCAGTCACACTCGTGTGTAACCACTTCTCCATGTGCCACTGAAACAATCCAAAACAACCGTCCAGCTTTTTTATTTTGTAATTAACGCAGTCAGCTCCGTCTGAGGGAATCCCGCCTTTTCCCCCAAACACAGCCATCTCGCACCCAGGGAAAACAAACAAGGCCAACAACATGTGTTCACACTAATATCCTAAGGCTGCTAAACTACATAGGCACAAAAACAGTGTGTACATAAACGCTATGGGCAGCCGCAATGTGGCTTAGTTTTACCTCCATAACCAAGCAAAGACGGAAAGCTGGAGAAACCGTAACCTCAGTGCAGAGAGCCCTCCAAACCCACAATTCCTGGAAACTCTCCAACCTCTGGCTGGAGTGGCTCAGTCCACTTCACAGTCCTCTCTATCCTCTGTACAATGAGTGGGCCGGGCTGCAGATTACTTGGTAAAACAGTGTCCTATTGTCGTGCTTTCAGCCCGTGTGTGCGATAGGTTAGTGCTCCGCTTGTGTGGATGCAAGTTAAACTAATAAAAGTTACAATAAAATAATGAGACCTTCTGTTTATCTGACAACAGTAGCTTCCCTCCACTTCCTCTAAACTCTCCGGGTTCTTCCAAATGGCCTTGGCACAAACTCTTCACATGCCATTTACACTGAGAATGCATTTGTGACTAAATGACAGGACATCCTTTCAGTTGACCTAGGTTATCAATGGGCCATTTAGGGGGCTGTGATCACTCCATATCCCTGAGGGAATTACAGTGAGCTCCATTATATATATTAAAAAAAAGAAAAGAAGGGGGCAGAAACAGAAAACAGAAAATGCAATGAACTCTTGCACACACACACACACACACACACACACACACACACACACACACACACACACACACACACACACACACACACACACACACACACACACACACCAAGGGAGATTCTTCATTTCATATCAGACAGATGATTTCAATCATAGCCAACTGATAAGGACAGACATGATGCACCTCATTATACTCCTGGATCCGGAGTAGGACCTGACTCTCCATGTCATGCTTTTCTCATTAGCTGCTCCTTTTCTTTCATCGTTTGTCAGACATTTGTGACAGCTACGATACTATCGTGGTCGTAGCGCGTTCTCCGACAACATGACAGAGAGACGGGAGCTCTAGAGAAGTTTAGATTTAAAAGAATATCTCCGTGGATTGAGGATGTGAGATTAATAAATATCAAAAGGCCGATTATCACATGATTTTTCTCAATGTAGTCTATAGAAAACCAATTGAAAAGCTGTAGTTGTCACTTTGTACAATCAGTTTAATCCAGTTTTGAGTGTCGCCTACTGTACAGTCATTTGTTGATTTAACAACTTAATCAGTTCATCTGATTAAAGCTGAAGGGTCTGAGTCATCAATCACGTAAACTAACACTGATTACTGACCAGTACTACTCTATTTCCATGCTGCACTGAGGAATTTAGCCATTTTACCCTTGTTGATATTTAAGGACTCCAGCACATGACAGGGTGCAGGATGGAACAAACATGTTTTGCCGCAGCTGCTGATTTGCAGCACGTTACATTCGGTGCAAACGTCAGTGACATGCATCTTCCCCCGACCACGACACAGTTTAATCTTTATCAGAAACCTCCATCAACTCCCACAACCGCAACAGAGAAACCCCCTCCGTCTCATAACTGAAGTGACGGTATCTGCAGCCACTTAGTCACTTTTTTGTTTTCTGCTTGTCTGACCTTCTCGGTACAAAAGACAAGACACACCTGCTACACTGAACTCTCAAAGTTTGGGGGGAAAAAAAGAAGGAGAATATGTTTAATGGGAGTGCAGGGAGGTGCAGAGAGAGTCTGTGACTGTAACTGTACAAACAAACAAAAACAATTACACTTCATGTTTAGTGAAGAGGCGACTAGATTAACAAAAGATCCCCATATTATCACGTGTATCATTAACACAATATCGATATTTCTTTTTTCTTTAACACTTTTGTGTATAAAATAAAAAAGTCTATAAAAAGTGACAAACGCCTTCCACAAGTTCTTTTTTTTTTTCTTGTATGAGAAAAACTCCAAAACTTAAAGTTATTATTGGAAAGTGAGAATGTGCAATAACTGATCATCAAAATTGTTGCAGATTATTTTTAATTAGTTAATTGATTAATCAACTCAACCGTTTTTGCTCTATTACAGTTAATTCTGTGTTTTATGCTTGACTGGTCTTTTCAAAGCCGCAAATAGCTTGGGTTGATATTTTATGATATTCACCATTAACTACCCATAACTGCTCAGTGATCTAATTTATGCTGTTATGAGGACGGATGGCTCTATGACCTGAAGAAACTCAGATAATGAAATGAAAATATGGTTTTCAGAACAGAACAGAGACGAAATCCTACATCAGTCGTCATCTGTAATATCATTAGTTTATCAGTGAAAACTAATGTCCAAGTTTAGCATTGGATTTTTAATGCAATTCTAATTTAACCAACTTATTATTTAAGATGACAAATCAAGTACAATTTGTCCTGAATTAAACTTTAATTCAATATGCAATATGTATGGTATATCCTCTGAGCTGACCTTGACGGGGCAGTGAAGGCACTCTGAGCTCAGCTTTACAGATAAACCCTGGCACTCATTGGGGGTGGGGGCGGGGGTTGGGGTGACCATGCATGACTTTTCTTGAGTGATAAATTACACTGACATTTTGTGTTAGATGACTAAGACAAGTACAACCCAGCTTATGTCAAGCGAAAGGCGTCTGACACGTCGCTACAAACTGTAAATACATCCAGAGTTCAGCCGAGCTGGGACACATTCATCATTATGAAGCTGAACGATCGGAGATGAAGAGAGAGTGACACCCGGCGCAGGATTAAAGCGGCCAGACAAGAAAGTGTTAACATACTGTTGAGCGACAAAACACGCACGCAGAGTGACGAGTACACGCACGGACACACAATAGAGTACACAATTACACATACAGTGTATGTGTGGGAGCGTGTGAAAAGCGGCTGCCCCCTCCTCTCAGGGAGCACAGGAAGCTCGAGACAATACAGAGGCTTCATGCAGGGTTCAGCTCCAAACTGTTCCCTCCACAGCAGCCTGCCTCAGAGCACAGGCCCAGCACCCGATTAGACCCACAACATATCCGCTAGGCTGGATATTTATAACTCAGGGAAGCAGCAGCTCCACGACACAAATTCTTGAGTTTCCTCAGGAGGTATGCTTCACTGATTAGACGAGTGTGACAGTGTGTCACAGGCAGGTTAGGCAACATTCACCTTCATACCAGCGAAAAAAAAAAAAAAGAGAAGAGAAACAACAAAAAAACAATCAGCGATGACGACAGTTTTAATGAATTTCCTAGCAGTCGCTCAGCCGACCACAAGCTGGTGATATGACTGACACCCTGACGCTGACGCTGACCACATGAAAATACGCTTATTGTTTTGATGACTGAAAGAGACGGGGCTGCCATGAGTTTAAGAGTTGTAAGCAGGTGCAGTGTGAGACACACTTTCCAGTCTGTTTGTGTTGTGAGGGCGAGGTGGTCTCTGTGGTCAGCCGCTCTCACGTGTACATGGCGTCACTATGATTCATGTAGTACGTTACTGAGGGATATGCGAGGACACTGAATTTGTCAACAACATTCACAAATTGAATTTGGAGATTTGTGTGCAGGAGGGCTATTAACTTAGGGCTTTTTCAAATTCTCCCTTTGCAGAGAGGCAGAGAGGCGACTCACAAGACAACACCAGGAGGGAGAGAATGAAAAGAGCAAGAAAGGATGACTAATAGATTCAAGTATGTGCAGGAATCCATCACCTCGCTCTAGAGACAATCACATTAGCTCCATTAAAGCTCGTCTTTGTGTAAAAGGGGGGAGAAAAAAAAAGTCCCATGAAGCACAGTTTATAGGCTTCTCTATAAACACATCACAGCAAAAATGTAGAATATGTGACTGGTGTAGCAGGTCAACAGGGACTTAAGTGACCATCAATAGCTGGAATTTATGTGGGATTTATGTCTTTCTAAACAGAAGTCCACTCTCTGGACAAAGGTTTAGTTTGTTCTGAGACTCAACACTTGTGTTATAATCTGTTCATTTATCCAGGAGAGCAGGAAGTCAGAGGACTTAGCGCTGATGTAAACCTTATGTCAGTCTCTATTCACGCTATGTCGTGTTTCTGATAGGGCTGTGAATGTCCACAGCGCCGTCTTTCCTTCTGCGACTAACATGATCAATTAATCTTCTGAATATCTTTAGATTAAAAGCATTAATTGTTTGGGGCCTGAAAATCTAAAAATTACAAAAATGCTCATCACACTTACCTGAAACTGAAGGAGAGCTCATGTCATAAACCCCAAAGATATTCAGTTCATCATCACAAATCCTCACAATTCAGAGGCTGGAACCAGGAAATGTTTGGTATTTGTATTTGAAAAATGATTGAAATCATGAATTGATTATTGGAATAGTGATTAATTACTGAAATTCTCAAATTTGCTGTTGTGATACACTTTTTTCCTCCTGGTTATATGGATAAAATCCTTTGTAAACACTACTACAGGTGCAAGTAACAATTATTATGTGTATATATATATATTCAATGTCCGAAATTAGTGAAAAAAATCATCACAGTTTCTCAGAACCCACAGTAACATCTGCAACAAACAGACCAGTTTCCAAAGATATTCATTTCCAATTATGTAAAACAAAATGAGAAAGCAGCAGCTCTTTGCATCGCAGTAGCTGAAACCAGAGAACATTTGGTATTTTTGTTTTGAAATATGACTGGAACCATCAACTGATTATCAGAATCTATTAATCAAAAAATATTTCAGCTCTAAGCTCTACCCACTCATAAACTACGCCTCTGTACACTTGGACACAAATAATAAAATAGCTAGCTCCTTTATTCTTATGTCCACAAATCAGTGCCTGGCATAGAAAAGCACTCCTTCCAGTGAGCATTACACTTCAACCACGGTGGAACAGGTGGAGTTATGGAGTTAAACCCCCTCACATCACACACTTAACCTGTGGGAGTAAAACTTCCTCAGCAATCACAGTCAGGACCAAAGAATGAGCCGGAGAAGAAGAAGAAGAAGAAGAAAGAATGAAACTGGGTGAAGTCAATCTGTTTATCTGGTGATGTTTGACGCAACCCCACTTGACTCAGGCCGGACCGTTCAGGTGTGAGCGCTGACTTGCCCCCATTGGTATGCATGACGCGAGTCGGCAACACCTGAACAGGTGGCACTCCCTAAGTGAATCAGTAGGTCTTCAATAACTGAGGAGTGACTCACCTTAATAACGACAACGACGACGACTACAACAGCAGGAGCAGCAGCACTTTGATCAACTATCAATCACTAACAATAAAACATCACTAGCTGTGTCTCTGCTCTGGTACAAACACCTGACTGACAGCGAGTGGGTTGCACCGCATTGCATCAGTCAGAGTACATGCAGCTTCTCTAAGCCACAGGCTCAGTTATAACAGTTCACATGGTCACCATGCAGAGCAGCAAGCAGCAGTTACCAGCATTAGGAACTTTAGAGCGGCTGATTTGTTGACCACTGTTGAGTCCCCAGTGACACAGTTTGGCCTCCACTTGTCCCAGATGTCAGTCCTGCCCTTGTCTGTGTTGTCCACAGAGACAGAGGGGGATATTTCCTGTGTGAACCAACACCCAGACGCTCAGTAAGCAATCACAGATTACAATCTCGTGTATATTTCCATGGGCATGACAATTCTAAGAAGTAAATTGATGCCACTAATATCAGCATATCTGTGTACTCTACACAGGAAGTTTACTGAGCGGCCAGGCACGTACACTCAAGCCAATTTGGAGGGGTGTGTGTGTGTGTATTTCTGTGTATGTGTGTGTGTGTGTTTGGGGAAGGGGGTGGGGGGGTGGGGGGGGGTGAAGTTTCCTCATAGTCCCTTAGCAACAAGGCCTGCTGGCAGGGCCTCCAGAATGTACTGTGGTTTACAAAAGAGATAAACATTGACTTTGCCACCCGGAGAAGTAAATCTGATTTCAGTAATGGAACACTGCATGACTTAAAACACAGATCAGACAATGCAGAAAACAAACACTAAAGCTCCAGGCACATCAGCAGATGTTACATTTACTTTAACGACTGTATTTAAAGTGAGCGGAGGCGACAGGAGGCGTCTGTGATGAAACGCCAAACTGCGGTAACTAAGAACTCTGATTCATTTTCTGCATCTTTGTCACGGTATCAGTGATCTTTGGATTAATGCAAAATATATGACTGAGCTTTATGAGCTTCACCTCCATGGAAACACAAAGCGGTGTTAATAAATGGTTACACTTTAAGGCGTTACAGTGAGCTTACGGGATTCATGGTGTCAGGCTTTGGTGCAGCACAGTTGGAAAAAACAACAGGCCAGGAATGAAAAGACGTCTCTGTGAAGGTTCGAGAGTGGAATAAACTTAGATGGAAAAACTTTTGAGAGACTCTGTGGTTTTAATTGACTAACTGGCAAAGGTGGATTCTTGGCTTTTTAGGGGTGAAACTGATTACAGCTTCAGACATGTTACAGAAACCTGTGGTTCTCACACTCTCTGCACACACATTTGATTTAAAGCCTGTTGGAGCAGGAGCGCACTTCGCAGCAGGCCATGGCTTCACTGCACTTATTAATAGAGCCTATAGGGCCAGCTACATCCGCTGTGACAGACCAGGAGCCATCATATGCTGAATGTCTGAACAATATGACCACATGATGTCCAACACAGATGGTGGCTGTAATGTTGGAGGAAGAAGGAGAGGAGGGGAGGGGTGGAGGGGATTGGGTTGAGTGAATGATACAGCACATGTACTGTACTGAACTGACCTGAGCACAGAAACCAGAAACAGGAGCCAACAATCTTCAGATGAGCACAGAACTCTCTACAGAAATAAACACTTTGATCAACAACAACAACAAACACAGTGTTGCTTCCTCCTGCGGGACAATGAACGGGCTTGTTTCATCTCCTCACACAAGTTCACAGGCCTGGTCGTGATTTCTGCTCCCATGTCACAGCGCAGCTTCTTTTTTCTTTTTTTTATTTTTTCCCCCAAAAGTTTGTTCTGGTCTATTATTCGACTTCATGAAACAGTGTGTATTCATGTTATCAAAGGTCTCCTGCAGCCACAGCGACGGTCTGAATCAATGCGTTACTGTATATCACTAACTAAATAACTTAACTGTGCTGCTGTAGCGCCGAGAGCGCGACACAATAAGAGGCTATCTGAACTTAATAGCATATTTAAACCATTAACGGAGGTTCACCAAATACATATAATCTTAATAGACGATACTAATTATACACAGAGCGATATATATTCAAGCGGGTGAGTATTCAAGAGCTTATTTTGTCGCGTTTACTTACAGAAAGTTTCCCGAGCACCGGACCGAAGTTCATCTTGGGAACTTCGAGATGAGAGGCGATCCCGGAGACTTGGACTTCGCGTTGAAAAACCACCGGCCTGAAGTCTCTGCAAACCCGCAGTTACAGCGAAAAAGAAAGCAGCCACGCAAATCCAGCTTTGAAGCTATCCGTCATCCGGTTTCTTACATGGGGTCGCTCTCCTCCGTGACAAAACTTTACGGACCTTTTCTGGGACAAGAGAGAGACGCGGTCTGAGCCAGTTGAGACTTTTTTTTTTTTTTTTTTTTTTTCCTCTCTCCCAGCTCCGAGAGCTGTGCGTGACGTCAGACAACCCATGAGCCAATCACAACGCTCCTCATTGAATAACAATCAAGCAGCATTGTACTGTACTTTAAAACAATTTGGATAATTTACTCGAGTATTTCTGCTACTTTATTCCTCTGTAGTGTCATTTTTTACTCTATACTTAATGGTTACTTTGCAAAATAAGAGTTTACACATCTGATGAGATTAAAATAAAAAGCAAAATATTATATACATATACACCGTTGCCCATAAAGTTGGAATAATTTTGTTTTCAGACACAATCCTCTGTTTACTCCTATTTAAATGCATCAGTGATCACTTTTGACCAGGTGCAGTGATTGCATTATGTGTCCCAATTACCCAGGTGAAATGAAATAAATCACATTGTCACAATCATTTCATTGAGAGATGAGCAACAGTGTATATATATATATGCTACATATATTGTATATATAAAATATATATCCTAACCTTTTGGCTTGTGAACCCTTACTGTAACATTTCCACCAGAGTGACATTTCCCCTTTAAACTTCACACGAATCTGCAAATACAGTAGTTAAACCTAGTTTCACATCAGCCAGTGAAATCCTGCTACCACACTAATGCATAAATAATAACAACCTAATTATGCCATTTATTATACCATATCATTCACAGGGACTTTTTTAGTGCAGAAGCAGTCTTTTTATACTTTTGCAGTACTTTTGCTTTTACTTTACTAGGATTTTGAATGCAGGGTTTTATTTTTACATCCACATATTGGTACTTTTATTGAGTCTTCTTCCACCACTGGGGTTTATAATTCAGCAAATGGATCATCTTATGCTTTGATCTACATTCACTCCTAGGTAACTCGCTCCACTCACATTAACTAGAATATGTAATGTGTAACTGACTAGTAATAACTGACTGATGTGCAACAAGTTGGAGCACCAGTGAATGAATGATCCCAAAGTGGGACCTTTGACACACACTCCAGACCAGCAGACCTCGGAGTGGAGACACTTAATGGATCTTTATCTCACTGAGGAATAGTTTGTTTTAATGGTTTTTCTGTTATTTTAACCTCGTGAGAAGAGGAACAACTGTTTTCAACAGACTAAGTTTTTTGCATTTTGAGAACTGTGCAGTAGCCTATACAGGAAGACAACTGCCATCATATTATTAAACTATTTGTACTAAGCTACATCAAACAACAAACATCCTGTCAAATGTGGTTCCTGCTGACAAAATCTTATCTAAAGCTGCTCTGTTTTCTGTTTGTCGCGGGAGGAAAAAGCGGAAGATATTTGGGCAAACCTACACTAAACCGTGCCCGGGTCATTAACAGCACAAACAAATAAATAAACAAACACAACCAAACAACTAGTGTAAGTAAATCTCAGGCCTGTCTCACCGCAGTGCGATGGCACACAGACTGAGCAGCTTCTAGACACATGTAGAGTAAATTCTGTCCAGCATATCCCTCATTTCTCATTCGGCAGTCTACAGAAAATACACTGTTATGAAAGGTTATGATGATTAGTTAAATCATGTGACCAAAGGCGTGATGGTGACATTACAGAGTCAGAGGCGTGGGGAACTTGGCTGAGAATTATTGCATAAACCTTTGCATGCAACCGAGGCGGTGAAAAGCCCGGAGATGCTTCTCATTGTAGAGTATCTGAAGATAAAAGAGGACCTCTCTTGAGTTCCTGCACGACAATGTTGTTTACTCACAGTGAACCGCTTAATACCACTGAGCTGACCGAACTTTTAGTGGAAAAAAAAGAGATCGAGAAAATAAAAGTTTCTGGAGATAAAAAAAAGAAAGAAAGAAAGAAAGAAGCTGCTAATAAAAGAAATATTAAAGAAAAGATGTTATAAGTGGAAAAAGGTGCTCAGACTTTACACTCGTCATTTCATCCGGAGCAAACAACACAACACCTGGTCAGTTGCACAACAGATGCATCCCATCCCCTCCTGCAAAAGTTGGACATGTGTTTCAGTAATAAAAAAAAAAAAACTATCTAGGAACTCTCTATCTGTATCTTCCACTTGGAACACATCCTGTGCTCCTCCTTCTGAGGTCACTGACTACGTGCTCGAAAACAGGAAGTACATGATTGAGTTATTTGCAGGCCTATCCTGAACGAGTCTAGTATTTATGGCCACTGGGTTGATTAGTTCAGATAGTGCACTTTTGCAACAACAAATATCACAAAACAAATTCCACAATTCATCATCTGTAGTTTGAGGGTAAATGTTTGGATTCACCAATGAAGGAAGTTAGCTGCTAAATGCTGTGTAGCTTGGGAGGAATTTGCATCTTGTGTGGGAGCAGTGAGTGTGTTTTGTATATTTGTGTATGAAGGGAGCATATGTTGGTGAGCCGGAGGGCTTTTTTTCACAGAAGTGACCTGCGGAGGAAAACAGAGAGAAAATAAAGGGAAGGGAAACCTTCCTGAGCGTCAGTAACTTATCTTGTGACGCCTGCTGGGTATTGTTTCACTTGCTGTTTAGGAAGGTTAAAAAAAAAAAAAAAAGAAGGAGCCGAAAAAACTGAGAGTAAGATATAAGTTTGAAATGATTCTCATTATTTGTTTCAACCACAGCACAAGAAAGTCAGCCGGTCGCTTATTTCACTGCAGTCTGTTTGTCGTGTACTTGAGTTTTACTTAATTTTGTTATAAAATTAAAAGAAAAAACACACAGCAGTGACATACGGCTGTATTCACTGTAGATAACAGGACAGGAAATAGTGCAAACAGTGGGGTCATGAAAAGGACAGTGGCCTTGCAGTTTCTTAAAGTCTTTTTTTTTTAATGTGTTGCAACATCAAACAACGTCTCGCACTTAACTCACATTAGTCATCTTCCTGCAATATACAAGTAGGATAATTGTTAATAGTTGTAAATGGGGTTAATATCACTGAAGCCCTCTGGACACCAGATTCTGTGAGAGCTCACAATAATAACAACAACAGCCGCAGGGTCATTACCGCCTGTTTACAGTAAAAGGTGAAAGGTCACAGTTTGAATGTTGTGCTGAGATGAGGGGGCCGCAGCCTGACACCGAAGTTGATGATATTGTTTATGTTTCTCTCCTTCTGTGTGGAGGTCTGGAGCATTGACATTCATCCAGTACAGTCCTCCTCCTCCTCCCTCTCAAGCATGCAGACACACGAGTGAAGAGTGAAAACACACCAGCGTGAGTGCTGTTATAAATAACAAATAGTCCAACAAATGAACCGAGTTTAAACTGGTAGTACTCAATATTTTTTGTATTAACAACGTGACCACATGACTCATATGTGAACAGGCTCACTCGTAGTTACAGATCCACAGACACCTCCAGAGTTCCCCTCATCTCCACGCAACGTTTTAGCTTCTTTTAGCTCTTGTTTTGGTTTTCCAGCCTGAAACCTTTCCACTTTGGTTCACCCTCACTGCTCTCAGAGACAGTCATGCTAGCGGCTCTGTGAGGCTGCACTTAGACACAACGGTGTTTTGAGCTAACAGTAGCACGCTAACATGCACACACAGACAATGCTGACATGTTGATGCTAAACAAGTATAATGTTTACCATGTTCACTGTCTTTATTTAGCATTTTAGCATGCTAACATTTGCTAATTTGCACTAAATTAAAAGTCCAGCTGAGACTGATGAATTTTGGAATTTTGGAATTTGATCATAAACTACAGTATTGGACAAATTTAACAATGATGACCTGATAATGGTGCTAAATGAGAAGTTAAGAGACCACCAAAGTTATTACAATTCATCTTGAGGTGGACATAAATGTTCGTACCGCACTTCATGGCAATCCCTCTGATAGCAGTCGAGCCATGAAAGAAAAAGCCCACAAATGTCAACCTCATTGTGGCGCTGGAGGAAAAGTCATTGTGGCACCAAAGTCATGAGGATAAATCATCACAACCACAAATGTTCGTACAGAAATTTCATGGAAATCCATCAAAAAGTTGTGAAGATATGTCAGTGTGGATCAACTGATACATCAACAAAGCCATTCCTAGAGCAATGTTGCTAGCATGGCTAAAAAAACCTTTTTTAAAAAAAACCCCTGTATATACCACTTCCCCAGTGCCGAATAAACAGACCAAATTTAAGATTTATAACTTTAAGAGCCAGATGTTTCCCTCTGGAGATGATAACAGAGCTAAAAAAGACAGTGAATATTGGATGGGCAGAAACACAACTCCAAATGAATGCTAACGTAGATTAATTTCTGCTTTATGTGTAAAATAGGCAAATGCATACTAACAAGTTTGGCCTGATTACCAACCAGTTGATGATAAAATGGATGGTGATATGTGCTAACAGCTTGTTTCCGCTGCCTGCAAGTGGCCTAAAAATCAGTTACTGCCTGTCTTATACAAGATAGAAGGAATGTTTTATAACAAGAGTCTTCAGCCATGTTAGCGGCTCTCTGAGTGCTTTGAGCTAAATGTTAGCATCAGCATGCTAACAGGCTCACCTTGGCAATGCTAACATGGGTAAAAACAAGAGTTAATTCTATCAGTCTTTTGCATCAGCATAAAAATTATACAATTCCAGGATATCCTTAAAATTGGTTAATTTTTCAAAATAAAACACAATCTTGGGCCTCAGGAGTAAATGATGGAAATCTTTTGAAGAGTAACTTTGTTTATCTTTAAAACAATGACCTCTTAGTGCCAATGGGACAAAAAGAATTCACCTCGGACCAAGTTCCGAATGTCATTTGACAAAAGCATAAGACAAAAGGTGTGTGGTGGTGGTGGGGGGTTCCTG